AACTTTTTTGACTGTAATATAATAGCAGTCAGTTTCCTTCACTAGTGTGCGTTTCAGGGCCTGCCCAGTGCCACCACTCACTCACTGGTGTAACAATAGCTTGCATTTAAAAAAACCAAAAGGTTTATGACTGTAATATAATAGCAGTCAGTTTCCTTCACTAGTGTGGGTTTCAGGGCCTGCACAGTGCCGCCACCACTCACTCACTGGTGTCACAATAGCTTGCATTTAAAAAAAAAAAAACTTTTTTGACTGCAATATAATAGCAGTCAGTTTCCTTCACTAGTGTGGGTTTCAGGGCCTGCACAGTTCCACCACTCACTCACTGGTGTCACAATAGCTTGCATTTAAAAAAAAAAACAAAAAACTTTTTTGACTGTAATATAATAGCAGTCAGTTTCCTTCACTAGTGTGCGTTTCAAGGCCTGCCCAGTGCCACCACTCACTCACGGGTGTAACAATAGCTTGCATTTAAAAAAACCAAAACTTTTATGACTGTAATATAATAGCAGTCAGTTTCCTTCACTAGTGTGGGTTTCAGGGCCTGCACAGTGCCGCCACCACATACTCACTGGTGTCACAATAGCTTGCATTTAAAAAAAATAAAAAAAATAAAAATTTTGACTGTAATATAATAGCAGTCAGTTTCCTTCACTGGTGTGCGTTTCAGGGCCTGCCCAGTGCCACCACTCACTCACTTGTGTAACAATAGCTTGCATTTAAAAAAAACAAAACTTTTTTGACTGTAATATAATAGCAGTCAGTTTCCTTCACGAGTGTGCGTTTCAGGGCCTACCCAGTGCCACCACTCACTCACTGGTGTCCCAATAGCTTGCATTTAAAAAAAACAAAAACTTTTTGACTGTAATATAATAGCAGTCAGTTTCCTTCACGAGTGTGCGTTTCAGGGCCTGCCCAGTGCCACCACTCACTCACTGGTGTCACAATAGCTTGCATTTAAAAAAACCAAAACTTTTTTGACTGCAATATAATAGCAGTCAGTTTCATTCACTAGTGTGGGTTTCAGGGCCTGCACAGTGCCACCACTCACTCACTGGTGTCATAATAGCTTGCATTTAAAAAAAATAAAAAAAATAAAAATTTTGACTGTAATATAATAGCAGTCAGTTTCCTTCACTGGTGTGCGTTTCAGGGCCTGCCCAGTGCCACCACTCACTCACTTGTGTAACAATAGCTTGCATTTAAAAAAAACAAAACTTTTATGACTGTAATATAATAGCAGTCAGTTAACCACTAATAAAAAAAAAATGACAGGCAGAGGCCGGCCACCCCACAGGGGCCGTCGTGGTCATGGTGCTGTGATTCCCTTTGGCCCAGTGTTCTGAGGAAATAGTTGACTGGCTAACAGAGGACACCCAATCTTCTACAGCTTCCGCTTGGAACCTTGACGCACCATCCTCTTCCAGCTTAGCTTCGGGCACCTCTCAAGTTACCACTCGCCCGCCTGCCGCCACCACCAACACTAGCACCACAGCAGCTTCACGTGGTATGTCAGAGGAGTTATTTACACATCAGTTGGAAGAAATGAGTGATGCGCAACCATTATTGCCAGAGGATGTAGATAACAGGGATATGTCTCAGTCAGGCAGCATTACACACATTGACGTACGGTGTGATGATGATGATGTTGTACCCATTGCTGCTTCCTTTGCTGAGTTGTCAGATACAAGTGAAGCGGTTGATGATGACGATGCATCCGTGGATGTCACTTGGGTACCCGCTAGAAGAGATGCCCCAAATTTGATGTAAGAGGACCGACCAAGCATCTTTTCCATCTCCCGGTTCCTAAAATTTTAGCCATATACACGTCCCCCTGATAGGGTACGTAACAGGGATTAAACTGATAGGAATAGTACTACTTAACACACCTTATAATAATGCAGAGAGAGGCAACGCAGAGAGAGGAGTCTGAAGAAGAGGAGTCAGATGAGGAAGGTGGCTTTGAGGAGGTGGAAGACCAAACACAGCAGGTGTCCCAGGGGGCTTGTTGTCACCTTTTGGGGACCCTTGGTGTTGTACGTGGCTGGGTGGAGGAAGAGACCTTCAATGACATCAGTGAGGACAAGGAACGGGACATGGCTAGCTTGGTATCCAACCTTATGCAAATGGGGAGTTTGCGGTTGTGCAAATGGACTGTTTGCGGTTGTTTGCGGTGCGTTAAACGGGGAGTTTGGTCTGTCACTGTGAAGCTGGCGTAACCCTTACACTACCTGATCGATACAACATCATACCTGATGTTTTAAAGCACGTTATTCCAAACAATTTAGGAATGTTAGGTGATTTATGCCCTTTATGGATTAAAACCAGACTCTGCATCAACTATATAATTTTCCATGGGAGTTTTGCCATGGATCCCACTCCGGCATGCCACAGTCCAGGTGTTAGTCCCCTTGAAACAACTTTTCCATCACTATTGTGGCCAGAAAGAGTCTCTGTGGGTTTTAAAATTCGCCTGCCTATTGAAGTCTATGGCGGTTCGCCCGGTTCGCCTGTTAGCGAACATTTGCGGAAGTTCGCCATTCGCCGTTCGCAAACCGAAAATTTTATGTTCGCGACATCACTACTTATTACCACTACACTTGTTACAAGCTAGCGTAAAAATGATCCCACGCTAAGGTTCAAAATATGCTTTTTGAAATATCCTTGGGTGTCTTCTTTAAGAAATAGTATGCCTTTTTGGGATAAGTCCGGTCATTCTAAGGTCCGGTTATACATTATCCTTAGTCCTAGTGTGACACACTTCTGTGTGCTGGATCAACTTGCAATCCTGACTCATAGAGACACAGACGCAGACATACTAATACAGAGACACACATGCACAAATTTAATTTCTTTAACCATCTCTTGTTTCCTACCTTTTTGGTGCAAGAGGGCAGCTTCCCTGTGGTCCAGTCTAGTTGAAGCTATTGGGTGTCAGAGGCTTTTCCAGTACCCGCTCCCTTCCTCTCTATCATCTCCCTTCCATGAGGCTTAGTGTTATCTGGGAGGAAGTGCCTGGCTTTCACTTCCTCTCAGTGCTACAGTTATTAAAGTGGCCATGTTAAACTGCTGCAACGCACAACCAGGCCCTTGATGGTACTTACTCTTCAGGTGGCCTTAAGTGCACGTGGGAACTGGTGCAGCTGCACCGGCTGTAGTTCGGCAGCTTGTTCCCACCTGCTACCAATGTGTGGGGGGTGGAGTGGGGACATTAGACCCCCTCTGTTATATTATCATTAGAGATCCCACCCTTTCCTAATGGGTGGGGTTGGGTTGGGAGACATTAGCCCCCCCCCAAACACTTATATTATCATTAGAGTCACCACACGCTGACCACGGGTATTGCACTTGTGTTTTTAGAGGTTTTAACTACGTGTGATGATGGCTTTCAAGTGATGTGGCAGCAGTAGCCCAGTTGGTTTTAAATATTTAGTAGATAGGCTTGAGCTTGAAGCATCAGATTTCAAGTATTCTGGTCTGGGTTTCTGTCATCCAGCCGCATACAGTTCAGCTGAAATCCAGAACTAATTTGTTTGGAACCTGAATTGAAAAATCAGGACACTCTTTGCCCTGGAAGATATGGAGTCACTTGGACTTTAGGGAATAACCCTGTTAATGTTTCCAAGTCCAAAACTTTTCTGGCCATCTTCATTCTGCTCCTGCACTATTAAGAGTTAGGCTAGCCAATATAATATTTTATGAGGCATATTTAAATAGTTAGGATTAGACATTTTCAGTTGTAGACTTTTCACTAAGAACAATAATTAAATAGGAGATTATGGCTCTGGAAGCAACTTTTCTTCCCAAGTGATTTAACAAATCCCCATCTAGTTAAAATATCATCCAGTTTCCTCCCATTTTGGCTATTCGGCAATAATCCCCACTTCTCATCCATACGGATAAATAAATCCATGAAAACAGTTCCCTATAAAGTTCAACATCTACCTTCATCACTAGGAATCTACAGTGTTATTTTTATGATATGTCTTTACGCTGATGTAAATGTTCCTCTCTTCACCTAGGGAACCTATAAAAATAGGTTTATTTACTAAAATGAGAATTCAAAGTGAATTACAAATTTAAGGTGAAAATAGTCAAACTGGGATAAATCTATAAGTCAGCTATGCTTTCAGTTTGGCTACTCTGGCCTAAATTTTAAATTCATTTTTGAATTCTCACTTAGGTAAATAACCCTGCACAAGTGCAACTTGTTGTATAAGTGGTAACATTTACATATTGTTCACAGACTAGGGAGGGGGAGCTTTGTACTACTTGGTTTCATTAGTGGGATAAAATAAAAAAAGTGACCATATTAACCCCTTAGTAACCAGACAGTTTTTCAATTTTCTTACCGTTAAGGACCAGGGCTCTTTTTACATTTCTGTTTGTGTTTAGCTGTAATTTTCCTCTTACTTATTTACTGTACCCTCACATTTAATATACCGTTTTTTTCGCCAGTAAATGGTCTTATAAATTATATAAATTTTTTTATCATATCATATAATTTACTATAAAAACTATTGTAAAATATGATGACAAAATTTAAATAAACACACTTTTTCTAACGTTGATCCCCAAAATCTGTTTCACATCTACAAAAACACCCATTCTAAATAGTTTCTAAATTTTGCCCTGAGTTTAGAAATAATTAGCTTTTTTTGGAAAGTGATAGGGCTATAAGTCCAAGTAGCACTTTACTTTTTCCAAACCATATCAGTAACAGTGATATCTGTAAGGAATTCCTGAATAACTCTTCACATGTATATATTTATTTAAATAAGACATCCTAAGGTATTAAACTTGGGGTATTTTGACTCTTTTCATGCAACCATTTTACCACCAATTTATGCCAAACTTAAAAAACAAATAATAATTGGACCTTCTTTGGAGTGTTCACATTCCAATTTTCCAACTTGGACTTTTCACAGCTGATCATCTTGCAACCATATCCTATTTGGGACCTTTTTGGAGCCGGCCAATGTAATTTATCCCCATCAAACCATATATTTTGGAAAAGTACACAACTCAAGGTATTCAATATGGGGTATGTACAGTCATTTTTAGAAGCGACTTAGTCACAAACACTTGACAAAATTAGCATTTATATTTGTTGGTGTGTTAAAAATTTAAAAAACAATTATGAATGCCAATTTTGGGCAGTGTTTGTGACTAAGTGGCTACTAAAAAAGACTGGATATACCCCATTTGCAATACCTTGGGTTGTCTTCTATTTGCAAATGGCATGTCATCATGGGGGTAATTCTCATTCCTGGGCTACCATACGGTCTCAAAGGCAACATAACCAATCTGGCAAATTTAAGTGTGAAAAAATGGAAAATCAAGCTTTATAGTTGACCCTGTAACTTTCAAAAACACTATAAAACCTGTACACGGGAGGTACTGTAATACTTGGGAGACTTTGCTTTAAATTAAATTAGATTTATGTCCTGAGGAAAGTTCACTGTAGTGAACTGAAATGTTGACTGTGGATTAAAAGTATGTTTTTTTTTATACAAGTCTTCGCGTGCTGGCTCTTCTATGGAACTTATATATATTAATATCAAATACAGTTAATATATAAATTATATATATTTTTTTTATTTTTACATTTTACATTTATTTTCAATTAATTATTATGTATTTTTTATAATAATATATATAGTTATTATATATATATATATTATACATGTGTAATTTTACTCTAACTGTATTTTTATATTAATATATGTATACATTAATAAAAACTTACACATATTATGACATTATATATACGATGTATATACATATTATATATAGATATAATATATGTTTATATATATATATATATATATATATATATATATATATATATCTTTTTTTTTTTAAAACTTTTTTTTACTTTTTTCACCAGCAGTGGGGCTGCCTGTCAGTTCAGGCAGTCCCCCTGCTGGCAGCACTGTGGACACCTATTGCGGCCATGTGACTGCTCTTTCAGCATAGCCCACACAGTCCCCCCATAGAAGAAGAGTGATCGCCGGCGGTGGAACGGCGGCGATCGGTAAGTACATGGGAGAGGGATAGGGAGGGAGGAGTTCATTTTTTAATTAAATTTTTTTAATTTAATTTTATTATTTATTTTACTGAGTGCCTTGACCCCTGGAGGCACTTAGTACAGGCAGAGCATCGGAAGCCTGCCTGATGGCTTTCGATGCTCTGCCTCACTGCTGGGCTCCAGGTGGAGCAACCCGAAAGTGATCACTCCAGGGGGAGCGATCACCCAGTGTTCTCCGGCGGCGCGGCGCGGGGTATTGCATCATCGAGGCATCATTGCAATACCATTAGAGCTGCTATAAGCAATCTTGATTGCTTCCAGTGCTCTAATTTCCTGCGGACGTATCAGGTATGTAAGGACCGTTTTTAGTCGTACGTACCTGATACGTCATTGGTCATGATGGGGTTAAGCATTCTTGCTGTATTTTTTTTTTTGCAACCTAGCAACATTTCATTCTTTTTCAGTATTCCATTAAAATCGATAGATATACAAGGAACCTAATAAATATAAAATGTATATAGTCTTATTTTGCTAAATATTTTCCAGTAATGTGTTATTCTGCTTCAGTTTGTTTATTTTTATACCTGCAATTAAATGAAATGTAATTCTTATGTCAACATTAAAATCATACAACAAAAAAGGAAACCCTTGCAGGAACCATATTCTGTTCTACACCAGCCAACTCAAATAATGATAAATGGAATGTGTTTGACTTTACAAAAACCTCACATGCATAGTTTGTTAAATAAATATATAATTACAATGAAATAATCCATTGTAAAAATATTCATTGACGATAAAAATTTATGTATTTTTTTTTGTGTGAACCATATAGTCAAAGGCTCATAAATAGTGTTTAATTGTCACGTAGTTTTAAAAGATTATAAGGCCTTGGTTTAATAGTCATTCCAAATAATTTGTCTACATAAGTCACCATCAATGTAAATGGGAATTTTTGTAGTTAAATCATCTGGACATTTTTGCAAGAATGTTGAATCATTTGGAAAGTTTATTGAATGGAGACCTTTGTTACAATGTATGGGGAGAAATCATTAATTGAAAAAAAAAACAACAACTTTAAATTGAAAATGTATGTCATTGTAGTTATAATATAAAATTAGCTATATTCGTAACACCACAGCATCATTATAGTATAGCTCGTAAGGGCCTGTGGGATAAAGATGTATCTTTGCTCCCTAACATTTGTAAATACTGGAGTTGCTGAGAACTAGCACCTGTAATTCTATGCTAGGCTATACTTGTGTGACTGTTATGGGAGATACAGACCACAGAATGTGTGTAGATCTCAAATGAACCTATTTTTAGCAGCAACATTTAAAATTCCATTATTGTGAAAGATGTGGTAATAACGTGGGTTATTTTGAACCTAGAACCAATACACACTCTAAGTATGTATTTACAGTCAGGGACAGATTTCGCATTGGGTAGAGTAGATACCTGCCTACAGGCACATGTCTTATAAGGGACATCTATTTTCGGCACTTTCAATGTGCCTTTATGGAGATTAAGTAGGCTGATTGGAAGATAGTTATAGCACAAGAAGCCTTTCTCAGTAGTCAGCTTCCTATACTTAATGGTAAAAAGCTGCATGAAGAGTTATAGAGGATGTAAAATTCTGTGCTTTGCCAGATTCTCCAGCATATGTGTGTGAAGGTGGACACGAAATGCAAGGGATCACTTCCCATCAGCCTCTCACAAAGGAAATTACTTTCATGGGCAACAGTGATGAAACACTCTATATCATCTACTGATAACTACACTAAAGAAGACATACAAGAGTGAGTACTTTGCAAATAATACCTTATAGGAATACTCCAAACACAGAGTGCTTTATGTGAGAAAAGTGTGTCCTCTTTAGTATGCCCTAATGAAGAGCAAGTTGTATCCTAAAAACTGGATTGATTCCAGTTGTAACACGTGCCTTGCAGTTTGTTTGGAAGGATCAAGTCAGGTTTAATTATACAGTACTTATTTTGAAAGATGTTGAATTGGAAAAGAACAAATAGAGAAAAAGCATGAGTGATGTTTCTCCATGGTCCATACAGAATTTAACTTAGTTAATATGTAGAATGGTAGAAAATAATCACATATTGCAAGGGAATAGCCTTCTTTTAATTGGCTGTACGAATGCATAATAATGGTAATTATTTATTTTTCTATCATTATTCCAGAGAAGATTATCCAATGTTGGGTAAGCTCAATTTTCATAATAGTGTTTGTTTTCATGCAAAAGTGTCCTAGAGGCATGTACGAAAGATCTGAATTGGGTGAACTACATTTTGGACATTTGTTTCATAAAGTCAACATCGTACTTTTTACAACAAAAATTAAAGGGACACTCTACTGCTCAAATGCAAATTAAATAAAAATCACTATTTAGTAGATACACCTAAATGAAAACCTGAATGCATTTAAATTTTTTTTTTCCCATTGGAGTTATAGCTAAAAACAGTTTGAAAAAACTGCAGATTTCTTCTTTGCTGCCTTTGCAAGCCCTACCCTTCCAACCCCATCCAGACTTTCCGTGGCTGTCCAATTAGAGACTCATCAATGCAGCTCATTGAGAAGACTTTGAAAGGCATATTTGCTGAGGCATGTGCCCTGCCACTTGAGTTTAGCTCAATTGAGCTAACCAAACCAGGAAGTAGCAGGACCAGTTGTCTGCTTGAAAGCCAAGGGGGTGTAACCAGTGTATTTTATAAAAGTGTAAATTTCTATTGAAATCTGCACTTTTTCCAAAATGAAAAAATAGGACACACTCTTCCCATGTAAAGCTTTTTAACAGCTAAAGTGCTTCAGGGGTCTCGAGTGCCCCTTTAAGATTCAGGAACTCACAACCTGCTTTTCACTAGAAGATTATGTCATGGAATTAGTTTGATATTCTTTCCTGCACAGTGGGTAAGACACATTTTAGTTATGGAGTGCAAATTGATGGGAAGTGTGCTCAAATTTGTTTGTCACAGTTTAGCAATTCCTTATAGGAACAATACTGTTGTGAAACACCATTTTTTCCTATCTGGATACCTTTGTAAAACACATATGAGGTCCTCAATATATTATCATTGGTTGAATTACCCTAAAATCAACACAGCTAATGTGAGAAGCACCAATAGGTAAAAAGAACTAAGGAGGTATTGCTACAATTTCCCCAGAACAATAGACATTTACAAAACTATCTCAAGTAATTTGTTGAAAGAACTACATACTGAATTCATATTTATGGTGGGTTTGGCATACAGTTCACGTAATATCACATTGCATTTGTAAATAAAAACTGTCACACAGGATGCTTTGTAACATGAATAGCAGCTCCAATGTCTGAATAAAGAATTGATATAAGAATGCACGTATCATTTAACATTTTTTATTATAATTAAAATCATTACTTCCTGTGACATCACAAAATAAAATGATATTAAACCAAACACTACTTACATTGATGAAAACTTAGACAATCATCCTATTTTACACAATTTATTGTTAATTAAGGCATTTTATATTTTGCAAAAAAAAAAAATACCAAGATGGATGGCAAAGGGATATTATATGTTGCCTTTTAGTGGAATTATTTTACTCAGACTCAGACTTTCAAACTTTTCTTATAACTTCCCCAATCCTCTCCTTCCAGCAGGACGCAGTGGTATACCACAACTGAATATTTGTCAAAAGCCACAATCCATAACACCAGGAGGTTTAATACTTGTTTTAGGCTTTTTCCATAAATGGCTATTTGTGTTTGGAATTGTTGCAGCCTCTTAGTGTGCTGTCAGTTCTTTCCATATTTCATTGTACCAAGTAATTGCTTTACTCCTTACTTAATCCTTGTTATACATTGCCCATCACCTAGCATTACCATCATATATGACCTGTAATGTTGTAAGACCAATTCTTAAATACCAAGATGGATGGCAAAGGGATATTATATGTTGCCTTTTAGTGGAATTATTTTACTCAGACTCAGACTTTCAAACTTTTCTTATAACTTCCCCAATCCTCTCCTTCCAGCAGGACGCAGTGGTATACCACAACTGAATATTTGTCAAAAGCCACAATCCATAACACCAGGAGGTTTAATACTTGTTTTAGGCTTTTTCCATAAATGGCTATTTGTGTTTGGAATTGTTGCAGCCTCTTAGTGTGCTGTCAGTTCTTTCCATATTTCATTGTACCAAGTAATTGCTTTACTCCTTACT